TGCAACTTCGGGAAGAGCAAGCCGAGGTCCATGCGAAAGGCGGAGATATCCACAGGACAGCATACGCTCAGTGATAAAAGCTTGGTGCACACGAGGTTGAAGCGGATCCAACCACGCAGAAAAAGCGTCCAAAAGCACACCATGCCACGCACAAACAGCAGTAGAAGCTAGCACAAAGGCGCCCGTGTTGCATGGAGACACGAGGTTTCCCGACCAAACGACACGCAGAGCAGCACGGCGTTCCTCCGCAACTGGTGCCGAAGTGCGAGCAAAGACCGCTGTGGGTTTGCGCTGTTGAAACGTTTCCAATTCAATTGCTTTGAGGGTGAACGATTCCCCCCAAAAAAGTGCCATGTGATTTCGAAAAATGGAGGGAAGGCTGGTGGGGCGGCTGACACCCAATTTGTGTGCACACAACGCGTTCCAAGTCGATGCAAGCGGGGTCAAATCGGAGAGCGCAACAGGAAAATCCGCGGACATCGGCCGGTACGCCGGCATGAATGCAGTAGAGGTGGTAGCAGACGTGGGAAGCATGCTGTCATCTCGGGTCCCACCACACAAAGCCAGCAAGTCAGGACGCTCCATGCAGAGGGTATCCGCCACAGAAATCAATATATGGACCGCCGATGCAGACAATATAGCTTTCGAGAGACGGCGAACGTACAAAAAATCACTCAAAACATCGCGATGGTCTCCGAGGCGCGTATCCTTTGCAAGGTCCCAGTCCCGCGGGCGTTTCGCAAAAGCATCACAAGCCAGCATCTCTACAGGAGAGGAAGCAGAGCAGAGGCTAAGTCAAAATCCTCGCGGGTGGTGAGACCACATAACTAGCAACCCGGTGGTTGTGAAAAGAGCGTAGCAACAACACACAGCAGTGTGGAAGCCGCGTCCAGCACCCGCTTACCGTGTAATGCCAGCTGACGCCAAGTTTCAAGGAGTGATGCCGTGGGCGGTAGCTTGCTCCAAGAGATAGATGAAGGTTCTGTCGTTGACACGCTTGTCCACGACCACGTTGAGATGGGAAAGTTGCTTCTTATTGCTGAAAGACGATCAGCAAGGGTCTGAGATGGAGTGGGGATCNCCTAGAGATAGATGAAGCTTCTGTCGTTGACACGCTTGTCCACGACCACGTTGAGATGGGAAAGTTGCTTGATATTGCCGAGAAATGATCAGCAAAGAAAGGTCTGGGATGAAGTGGGGATCCAACTTCATCTCAGGGGGTACACAGAGTAGACAATTCTAAGGGGGTAGGGGTCAGCAGGGTATACCTCCTGACCGACCCGCATCATATCAACAATAAGATGTACCCTATTCATGCTAGCAGCCACACTCCCTAACACCTCTACGCCGTACAACAGAAATATGATACCAAAAACACACACCTCAAACTTGGACCAGTTCCCTAAGGGTGCCACCGACAACACACCCGACGAACCAACAACCCAACACATTCCTTCCGTACATTCCTAGCACAACGTGCAGATAGATGCACAAAACGGCTACCACACTGTCTTGTCGACCCTGTTACCCACGGGGGAGATGTCGCTGTATGCTGCTCGGGAAATCATGGAAACACAGGTAGCCTTCACTGACGCTATGGATTCATTGCTAATCTATCTTGGACTCTTCTCTTCGAGGTGGATTCGTTGTGTCATATTTTTCAACGGCCACTATCAGATGCTGCGGTCGATACACCACCGACTGCTCCTTCGAGTTATCGGGTACAAGCGCAAGAAAGATACCTACCGGCAGCTCTCTTACGCCCAGACGCTGAAGAGGGTCGAATGCCAGAGCGTTGAAGCCACGATCCGACAACGACGCCTACTGTTCGCGGGAGCATTGGCAAGGCAGCCGGACGGGCGACTCCCGAAACGCCTGATGTTCGGCGAACTGGCAGGGGGGGAGAAGCGACGTAGGGGGGGACAGGAACAGAACTGGCCGAAGTTTGTGCTCGACGACCTGAAGGCATTCGGGGCCGACCACGGATCTACGCAAACCGATCCATGTTGTCTCGGAATCCCGGTACCGAAAGCCACGGCACCCAAGTTAAAGTGGACGGAAGCCGCGAAAAGGCGGAGGGGGGAATACCCAGGCATGCGGCGGTGCTGCCGGGAGCTGAGAGGTTCATGACCTCCTGGCACGAGAAGGAGGGAGAGGCCAGCCGACAACGGGCGCTCAAACGAAACCACAAGAACAACCAATGGGGCGGGAGGGGGGCAGGAGACGGACGAGACGGCGAGGGAAGAAAGCAAACGGGAAGAGACGGACCGAGTGGCGTGATACGTGCCAGATTGAATTTCATGCCAATTCCCCCCCTCCAACGCTGCACCATTGCACCAACCCCCCACTAGTGATGACGTACCATTACAAAGTATCGCTGGGGGGTGGCCATGTTTGCGTGTTTGCTTGTTCGTTAGTGGTCTCTCCACCCTGTGCCCTTTTCTGTCTCTTTTTTCTTGTTATTTTCGGCCTGGTCCCTATTGTCCTCGCTCTTTGTCATTTAATTTTCTCTTTCCTTGCTGTTACCTTCTAGTCTATTGTCTTCTCTTTTTCTCTGTTTTTTCTTTTTTCTATTTTTCTGTGCCAGATGGCCTTGTTTCTGCTTGCATTGTATTGTACCAAGATTGAACCAAGGTGGTGTACTGTCAGCGTAGTTTCGCTGTGCACTAGCAGCAGTACGATGCTGCAGATCTCAGGAGAGGCTGTGTAGCCTACCTCAGAGGTTCACACTCTGTGCGGCTCCAACCGCGAGAGACGTGGAATGGAAATATGAAGATGTTTTTAATAATTGCTGACTCCCGAGTCAGATTGATGTTGCTGGTACTGAAGAGTAGTGAGAGGGGTGGCGAGCTTACGGCTGCACCAGTCCCTTCGAATACCGGACAAATACGCCGATCACACGAAAGATCTAGAATGCTTCCAGAATGATTCTGGAAGCCCTCCTACGTCCTAGAAGAGTATCAAGTGCAACCTAGGTCAATAATGCTTCCTGAAGGTTCCAGAAGGTTTCAGAAGGTTTCCAGAGGCTACACACGATCTACGTAGATGTCCCGGTCGACCTTGACCTAGCATGCTTCGGGAATATTTCTAGAACAAGACAATACATGCCACGGAAAGATGGATTATTTTCTACTGCTCCGTAAACTAGTTGCTGCAATCGTATTCAAAGGTCAAACCGTGTCCGACTACTGGTGGTCTCGACGAACGATTTTTCCTGACACGACCCCTCGATCAAGCAACTAATTCACAATGGCCAACCGCATCACCGTACCCATTTCTACGTCGACCCCTCCGTTGGCATCGTATCGAAAAATTAATTCCTTCTTGTATGACGCGTATGGTAGGAAGCTTAACAGATATTCGATCAACACGAGAAATCCTTGATCTGCTGAATGATGGAGGCGAACCGGTGCTTTGGTAGGTGATTGGTCGCGATATCAGCCAACTGGTGCTCGCTGGGCCGGTGGTGAAGAGTGATTTGTCCCCGCAGTACTAGCTCCCGGATGAAAAAGTACCTTAGGGCCACGTGCTTCGTGCGTTGAGAGTGCATGGCATTCCCGGCCACTATCAGCGCTCCAGTGCTGTCGCTGTTGATGGGAACCGATCCGAAGGCCTTGAAGTTGAGTTCCGGGATAAAATTTGAGATATAGATCGCATCCCTGGCTGAGTAGCTAAGTGCTTGAATCTCAGCTTCGACCGTGCTTTGCGCGGTTAGAGTTTGAGTTTTCGCACCGTAGCTGATGAGTCCTTCAGCCAGGAAGAAGAGATATCCCGTGGTAGATCTTACGTTGTCGGGTTTTGTTCCGAAGGATGAATCCGTAAACGCCGCTAGCCGAAACTGTCCTCTCCTTTAGACGATAGTAAGAACTGGATTACCCCGAAGGTATCGCAGAACGTGCTTGGCTGCTGTCATGTTCACTTGCACTGGGTTGCTGCAGGCCTTGGACAGTTGTAGGACCGCGAAAGAGAGGTCGAATCGCGTGCACTGGGCCAGGTAGAGGATGCTTCCCATCATCGACTGGTAGATTTTCTTGTCCCTGGGTCCTAGGATTTGGTCCTGAGGTTGATTCGTGGAAATTTCCGCTCCGTATCCAGGAGTGCTCACTGGGTTGGCCTCTTGCATTCCATACCGTTCCAGAAGTGTGTTCACGTAGTGCTCCTGTGGCATAGCCAGGGTTCCTTGCTCGTAGTCCCGCTCTACGTCAATCCCGAGGCTACGTCAATCCCGAGGCTACGTCGATCCCAAGGATCCGCTTTACCTCTCCCATGTCGGTCATATCGAATCGATCCGTGAGCTCCTTCTTCTTCTGGTCCACGAGCTGCTGGTCTCCTCCGGTGATGAGAATGTCGTCTACGTTGACCGTGAGAATCACGATGATGTTGCCGCTGGTATACACGTACACGCAGGGGTCGGATTGAGTCCTTTTCCATCCGAACACCGTGAGAGACTCGTTCAGGGTGTCATGTCAGAGGGCCGGCGACTGCGATAGGCCGTAGAGGCTTCGTTCTAGTTTGTACACAATTAGTTCTCCTGTCGCGGAGTTCTTGGCGGATGTTCCGGGGGCGGGTCTGACGTACACGTCTCTGTCGCAGAGGGCGTTCAGGAAGGCACCGACAACGTCCAGTTGGTAGATGGGCCAGTTGTTGTGGCAGCCAATGGCGCACGTCACGCGAATGCTCCGGATACGGCATGATGGGGCGTAGCTTCGTCCGTAATCCTGTCCTGGCTCTTGACGATGTCCTCCGACGACCAGGCGAGCTTTGAAGCGTCCGTCCAGCTTGTTGTTGAAGCCGGATTTCGTTGCGAGGATCTTCTCTCCCTTGGGAACGCTACTGGGGGGCACCAGATTGTAGACGCTGTGTTTCCGCAGATTGTCCATTTCCTTGCTGCACGCTCCTTTCCATTCTTCGCGCTAGGGAGAGCTCATGGCTTCGTCGTAGGTGTTGGGGATTTCGATCGCTTGATTCGTCTCCTCCAAGATCCCGTGGTGGTCGTGAGTGATCGTGACGTAGTCGTGAGCACGCGGCACCGTGAAGGGGTCTTCCGCCACGTGGGCGAAATCCTCAGTATCGCCAGGGCATGGGAGCTGGGCTTGATTGGCTATCTCAGCCAGCTCAGTGAAGGAAAGACCGGATGGCTCCACGCGGCCCGTTGCAGCATGGGCTCGACCGCGGTCGTTCATGGTGACTTGAAGATCGACAGGAACCAAGTCTATGTCGATATGATCGTCGCTGGTGGGCTTCCCGCGCGTGCTGGCTCTGGTGACTTGCAGGCGCCGCATGCCGGAGGATCCAGTTGATGCAGAAGTGTCCGGTTCAGTCGGGTTCGACGATGATGGACTGGGGCTAGATGCGTGGGTCTCGGATGACGATCCAGNCGTTGCAGCATGGGCTCGACCGCGGTCGTTCATGGTGACTTGAAGATCGACAGGAACCAAGTCTATGTCGATATGATCGTCGCTGGTGGGCTTCCCGCGCGTGCTGGCTCTGGTGACTTGCAGGCGCCGCATGCCGGAGGATCCAGTTGATGCAGAAGTGTCCGGTTCAGTCGGGTTCGACGGTGATGGACTGGGTCGAGATGCATGGGTCTCGGATGACGTTCCAGCTGGCGTCGATGGGAGATGTGGTGATGGAGCGTCCCCGTCGCCGAGATCTTGCCCGTTTCCATGTTCATCCTCGTTCCCGTCCAGTTCTAGGTGAAGCTCCTCCCGCGCGAGATTGTCTTGCTGCATCTTCCGAACTTCTTGCCGAAGGAGGTCGTTCTGCGCCGTGAAGTCCAGGTCGCTCGTCGAGTGGGGGCTGTCCAGCAGGGAGGTGAAGCTCAGCACGTCGCTCTCGTACCCGTTTGCTTCAGTGGAATGCTGGAATGGCACTGACCGGGGTGTAGATTCGATGAAAGTCACATTCCGTCTCTCGACCACGGCCCCGTTGGATGGGTTGAATACCCGATAGGTCTGGCTGTCGAGGCCGAAACCACATAGCTTGCCTTCGAAAGCTCTGTCGTCCAGCTTCTTTCGGTATCGCTCGTGGTGTACGAAGGCGCGCGCGCCAATGACCCGAAGTGCCGAGAGACCAGGAGACTTATTGTGCAACTTCGAGTATAGGGTAGCTCCAGTGCTGAGTATGGGGACCTGTTTAACAGGTATGCTGCAGTCATCATTAACTACCCCCACATGGACGGCGGAAAATCTCCATCCTTCAGAAGACACCGGGTGACTCCGGCCAGGGTTTGTCCGGCCCGTTCCGATTCACCAATTTGTTGAGGGGTGTTTGTGGCGGCGTGTTCGAGCTTGATACTGATTCTTGCAGTAGTCTCGAAATTTTGATCCGGTGTTCTCGCCTCCCTTGTCGCAGCGGATGGTCTCGATCCGGTAGCCTCCTGCCGCTGCGACGCACATGTTGTACGTGCGTACCGCCTCGGTCGTGTCAGATTTCTTGCGAAGCAGGTACACTTTTTTCATTTTCGTGTAGTCGTCGGTGATCTTGCACGCGTACGGGAAGTAGCTTCCTTTGTATTTCGCAGGTGGATTAACAGGCCCCATGTTGTCGATGACCACAAGTTGTCCAGGCCGTGATAGTTCGCGAGTCGATTGCTTCGGGTGGGGGGACTGCTTGTGTTTCACGATTTGGCAGACCCCGCAAGGGGAGAGACTGTCGCGATAGTCCACCCCGGTCCCCGTGTCCTTCCGAAGGATGTCCAGGCTCCGAGCANCGTACCGCCTCGGTCGTGTCAGATTTCTTGCGAAGCAGGTACACTTTTTTCATTTTCGTGTAGTCGTCGGTGATCTTGCACGCGTACGGGAAGTAGCTTCCTTTGTATTTCGCAGGTGGATTAACAGGCCCCATGTTGTCGATGACCACAAGTTGTCCAGGCCGTGATAGTTCGCGAGTCGATTGCTTCGGGTGGGGGGACTGCTTGTGTTTCACGATTTGGCAGACCCCGCAAGGGGAGAGACTGTCGCGATAGTCCACCCCGGTCCCCGTGTCCTTCCGAAGGATGTCCAGGCTCCGAGCACTGAGATGTCCAAGCCTCCTGTGCCAGGTGTCCGCGCTCACTAGCGTAAAGCAGACGGCGTTCGCCGTATGGGTCTGTGACTGCATCTGGTGGGGCACGAGGGATTTCGTGCCAGATGGCTGGACGTTCTGCTCGAACGTGGTGTCGAGGGTGCACATGCCTTGGTCTCGCGGATCTTGTGTGAGTGGAATCACCTTGCCTTGAATAGTGAGGTGCGGTGTGCTCTCTTCGACGACGCAGTGCAATCCCTTTATCAGGAGGGAGGTGGGCGAAAAAATGTTGCGAGCAAGCCCCGGAACGACGAGTCCCTGAATCCGCACGCGCACTTGCTGTCCTCGATTGTCCTTGACGATGCAGTGCAGGATGCCCGTGGCCGTGCCTGTGAGATGGTTTTCTCCTGCCACGTCCACGATCTTTGGAGAGTTTCGCTGGGTGTAGTCGTGAAGGTTTCGCCGGCGATGAGGCGATTGTCCAAGATGGTCTCCGATACTCCCGTGTCTACCAGCAGTCCTACCCCGGTGGAGGTCGCGGCTAAATTGCGTTTTGAGATGCGGGAACACGTGGCGAACATGAAACCGCTGTCGAAGGCGTCCTCGTCCCGGGTGAAGTCGACAACTGCCACTTCATTGTTTGAGTCGTTCTTGTTGGACGCCGACGAGCAGTGAGTGCAGTCGGAGCACGCGGTGAATGCTTTACTTGAGTCCTTGGTGTCTTCCGGGCGCTTTCCTCCTTGTTGGTAGCATTCCTCGTCCGAGTGAGACGTGGTGTTGTGCTTGGAGCACCACTTGGTAGCTCCGGCGGGCTTCGTTTTCTTCTTCGCCCTGTTCTTGATCTTGGGGCAGTTCCTCCTGATGTGCCCCGGCTCGTAGCAGATGATGTCAGACGCGGTCGTTGCCATGGCAAATCCTCGACCAGCTATGCGTCCCTTCCATCCCTTGCGCGATTGTTCGTCCAAGAAGATGTTGCGCATGGTGGATTGCATGTCAAGGACACTGAAGGTTGGGTCCCTGAACACCATCAGTTTGACGTCCTTATATTCGTCGGAGAAGCCCTGTACGCAGATGTCCTTGAAGCGGCGGTCGGAGATGGGTTCTCCCATCTTATCCAGCTGGGTGCGAAGTAGGTGCTTCTGGTTGAAGTAGTCGTCGGGATTTTCACCAGGGTTCATGGGGTTGTTCTCCAGCTCCTCCATCTTTGCCCTGATGACCTCGTCCGTTACCTGTCACAGTTGTTGCAGAGCTCCTCGAAGGCAGCTTGTCCGTCGTCGCTGATGCGAGTGTCGTCTTTGTGCTTCTGTACCGACAAGGCGGCTGGAGGTTCCACTGGGAGGAAAAGAATGGCGTAGAGATCTTCGTTTGCCCTTGTGTAGGAGTCGAAGGCCGCTGTGTCTGCGGGATCTGGCTTCCTCTGTTTCTTCAGCAGTGGCAGGATGTCCTTCCTGGTCACACCTAACCCCACGCAGAATTTCTTCATCCATGTCTTGAACTCAGCTGGGTCCTTTCCGTCGAATTTCTTGAGGCCTTTGATCACGGTTGCCAGGTTCGTAGAACTATCGCTGGCGAACGCGCTTCCACCTCCTGTGTTGCTC